TGGTTTGATTACAGTTATTATGGTGATGAAGTATACCAGTGTAATTATATTAGCAGCAGAGAAATTATTCCGAGGAGGTCGATCATTTGTAATTATTGGAATGAATGGAAGATTTGTTAAAAAAAGAAAATTGTAAACTAGACACCGAGAGAGAGAAAATGCATGCAAGGCGTTGAAAGAAAGAATTGACACGTTCAAAATAAAAAATGTATGGATAAGAGACCGTGAAAAACTGTTGCCATGGTCACACTACTCGACTAGCTACGTGTTCATGTGATTTGAAATGGTTAACCCTTAAGTATTATTCATTTGCATAATGTGTGTTACAAAATGTAGCGATTCCGAACTCACCTCGTCTTGCGATCATGATGATGATGGATGTGAATAATATATAAATAAATGCCATTTAGAGCTAAAAAAATGTATAACCTTTGTGACATATATATGTCTAAATCATATTAAAATATGACATATCGATTAGGCCAAATAAATAAGTTTTGCTTCTTCTCATCGCGTGCGACAGTTTGAAACCTTTGCCTCGCACATTTTTTCTTCCGATAAACGTTCAATATACAGGTTGTTATTGGTGTTAAATAATTACCCAGAAATTAAAATCGCATCACCAAATATTTGTTGAAGGATTCCTAATTGTGTAAACGGCACACCAATATTAATAATAATAATTTTATTAACATTTACACATTCCGCGGTGGGATTGGCAATGGTTACAAAAGTTTAAGAAGAAATAAAAGGTTACAAAAAAGTAAATAGATACAATTAAACAAACTAAGCAAATACATTACAGAAAATAACAAATATTAAAGTATGATACTACAATAGATAGAAAACAAAATGCAAAACTTAAATTGTGAAAGAAGAGGGGATGCTGTCTTATTTCAAAACACTTTTTAGGTACCTTGTTACAGGGAGTGTTAGACCATTGCAAGGCTATGAATTGTGTCTTTGGTGGCAAATTTTTAAAGTTTTGGATTTTGATTTTTGTCATTTCGAATAGGAGATTTCTTTCGGGGGTATATCTTTTACATAATATCATGAGGTGATACTCATCTTCTACATCGTTTTGATCACAAAGGTCGCATAATCTATTAGCAAGGGGTATTCTTTTGTGTCTACCAGTCTCAATTTTCAAGTTATGGTCACTGAGGCAGAATTTAAATTAGTTAAATTTTCGCGCATTTCAATATTTTGCAGGGAACAAGGTAGGTTTCAAAAGCAAAATTGTTTTTAATTCTCTGTATGTTCTTAATTTATTTTTTTCATTTAGTTTTGATCGATTGTCAATATGTTATTGACTTTT